GCCTGAGTGCCGGCACGTCAGCTTCCCTCATGGAGGAGGTAAGAAGTGCGCACAGCTTGGCTGGTCCCTTCCCCGGTTCTTGCTGCTGCTTTAAGCCGCCCTTTTTGCTCCACGAAGTTGTTGTTCTGCATCCTCTTCTGCCGTGCTTTGCAGGACGCCTTTCTCCAGCCCAAGGCTCTCTTCCAACCCGCAGGCAGTTTGTTTGGCTAACGCAGCCGGTGCGCCCCGGCTCCTCGGCCGCGGGGAAGGTGCCCTGCTGTGTTTCTCAGGGCATCCCTTCTCCTTTCGTAGCCTCTGCAGAACAGCACTGTGGGTGTCCTTAAAAAAAGGACTTTCCCAGTGCTTGTGTCTGCCTGGGAGTTTTTTCCGTTCGTGGTCATCTCATTATTCTGATTTTTTTTTCTTTCATTTCAAAATTTTTTCAATTTTTTTTTTGCTAGTGCTTTTTAACAGCTCTTATTCAAAGGCAGACTTCTGAGCCTTACTTTCCAGCTGCTTACCACAAAGTACGTAGGGTGAAAACGCAACAGACATGATTACTGCATAAAGAAACATTCTTTGTATTGTCACAGCTGTGCTGGAGGGAGAATTTCCTGCTGTAGAGATGTATTAGGCCAGCAGCTTCAGCAAAAACGAAGAATCTACTGTTTGGGGCCTTTAAACAAGGAAGGAGGAAAAAAGAAGGAAAATCACGTAGGGATAGTCTTGACTTGCTAGGGGTGGTTGGTGGCCTACTAAAAGTTTACTGTCTCTAATTTCTATAATAAAGAGGCCTCATTTGGTGTGCTCTAACTTGTGAATGTTTTAGGGCCTGCGTCACTCTGTTCTGCACTGATTTGTGATATAAGCTGTTATGCAGCATGCCTCTAATGTCAGTCCAGAGAAGGGTTTTATGACCTGCTACTCTGATCTCCCGCATAACACAGAGCAGAGAGCTTCAGTAAACTTGGGTTTGGAATCAGTTTTGCAGGTGTGCTGTTCGTAGTGCTAAGCATTGTGCCTTTCCCCATGTCTAAGGATCCCCAGGGCACATTCCAAGATGAGGTGGAGCGGTGTATTTTGCAGCTAGAGACAAATCTCCTTTGCCTCAACTCAACCCCAAAACAAGGTATGTTGCTTTCTTTACAGTCTGCAGCTAAATTCCAACCTCGGTGTTGATTTAGTGTACCTAGAAGCTTTTTGTATTTCTCCTCACCAATCTCTTTTCTCTTCTTGTAGTAGATTCAAAATTACATAAAACATTGAACTTTAAGAACTGTCTGAACTTTATCGGCCTTTCCTTTATCTTACTTTCCTGTGGCTTTTCTTCTTGACCTTCTGTATTGTTTTTCACATTCTCATATTCCTGTCTAATTGCTTGTTGTTTGGTTCTGCTACAGTTCTGTTTTTGTTTTCCAATTTTAAGGAAGTACTATTTAAGTATGTTTGGCTCTAAGACGTGTGTAGGTTTATTTTTGTGAAGCTTGTTCTTCATTGTTCTTGTTTGAAGGAGAAATGACTTGAAAGATAAAGTCCTTTAAAACACTTTTGAGGAGACTGCAGTTTGATCTACTCAGTTCAATTTGTTAATATAGGAAGACTTGTATCCTGCTTCTACCAGTGGCCAGTACTTAATATTTAGGAGAAGGGTGCAGTTACCCTTTGTAACATGCCTTACTGTGTGTGTGCTGGTGCACCTGAGGATAGATGGTAATTAATAAATGCCCGCTACAATGCTTGATCATTAGACCATTTTTTTTACACCAGTATCTTGTACTCAGTACATAGGATTGGGGAGCAGCAAGGGCAGCCTGCTCCCAGAGGGAAAGTGCGACGGGAGCTGAGCATAAGAACAAGGCTGGCAGGGGCAATGACTTCACCGAAAGGAGCCTAGGTCCCCAGTACCCAATTGCAGGGCTATGATCTCATTGGGATCACAAAGACAGAATCACAGAATCGTTTAGGTTGGAAGGGACCTCTGGAGATCATCTAGTCCAACCTCCCTGCTCCAGCAGGGTCACCTAGAGCATATTGCCCAGGATCACATCTGGACAGGTTTTGAATATCTCCAGCGAAGGAGACTCCACTACCTCTCTGGGCAACCTGTTCCAATGCTCTGTCACCCTCACAGTCAAGAAGTTTTTTCTCAGGTTCAGGTGGAACTTCCTGTGGTTCAGTTTGTGCCTGTTGCCTCTTGTCCTGTTGCTGGGCACCACGGAGAAGAGTCTGGCCTCATCCTCTTGACACTCCCCCTTCAGATACTTGTACACATTGATGAGATCCCTTCTCAATCTTCTCTTCTCCAGGCTGAACAGGCCCAGCTCTTGCAGTCTTTCTTCCTAGGAGAGGTGCTCCAGCCCTCTAATCATTTTGGTAGCCCTCCGCTGGACTCTCTCCAGGAGTGCCATGTCTCTCTTGCACTGGGGAGCCCAGAA